TATGACAAGAGTTCTCTTGTTTAAAGAGATGATCTTTTAATTTTTCTTTTGTGGCAAAAACGAGAAGCTTATATGTTTCCTCGAGACTGTTTTGTAATTAAGTTATTCCATTAGTTGCCGAGATATATGTATATTTTCTCCAAGAAAGTACCCAGCTTTCTGAGACATTAATAATAGTGTGTTTAATGGAAAGCGATTCAAAAATTTGGTAGAAGCAATTGTCGGAATTGAAGCTGAAGTTATTATTCCGCCTGATGTTGATACGAATATGAGCCAGACCAAGACGATATTGAAAATCTTAATATTTCAAATGACGTTTCTAGTGAAATTGAACTTCATGACGATACTGACGACGAAGTTCGTTTGTTACACTCAAACAGCAGGAAAGATGATTTACCTTTGTCCACATTTTTACCAAAATGAGTCAAGACCTCCAAGAATCAAATTCGAAGACAAGGAGAAAAAACAAAGAACTGAATTCAATGTGGAAAAATAGGTACATAGACATAAGCACAGATGATAAAACAACAGATTATAAAGAGTGCATGAGATGATAAATGAGGTAAAAAATGATAACCGTGTTCAAAATTTCGATAGGCTCATTGATAACAATATAATTAAAACCATTACTAAGCAATCAATCCTTTATGCTCCACAGAAAAATACATTTTCCATAAGCGAATAAGGAATAAATATTTATACGGATAGTGTTTCTTAGTGGTTACCTTAAATTACCTACAGAAGTACATTACTGGAATTGTGTCCAGTATCGCGAAATTAGTTTGAAGAAATGAAGAGATGCATCTGTTTTGCTGATAATTTTAAGTTAGGTAGTGTGACGCTCTTTTTTTACTTTATCGGAAAAAAACGCCCCTTGTGACGTCCAAAGCTATGGTGGTATTACGGCTGACGATGATATCTCGGGTACCAGTTGCAGAAACAGCACTTAGGGGCTTAGGTAGCTTCAGTGAAGACCGGATTACGTCTAGGGGTTCTAAATAGTCCAGAGGGTGTTCTGTTGAATATTGAGATTTTACACTGTTTTTTGAGTAAAATAGAATTTTGAAAGGGTTTTTTTTGTAAAAAATCTGCGTCGTTCCCAACTGAACGAGCAAAACAGCTCAAGAATGCTTATAAGAAGTAGCTTACTTCAATTTGTGTTTCACGTTAGCGATTTTTTATGAATTGAATAATATTTTGCTGGAAAAATGAAAGAATCGGCCTAAACGGCAAAATAATCAATAACTTTCATTCTCTATGCCTAACTGGCAATATTTTTACGAATTAGTTTTGTATTGATTAACTAATTAGTTATTCCTGTTTTGATTAATTTGATTAAATAATTGTTTATAACAGTTTGAGGGTTTAAATACCTGGCATCAACAAATTTTTAAACTATACAGAGTGTACCCAAAAGATTCATTCATATAAATAAAATACGATAAATAATCTTAACTGCACTAAATAATATTAAACTATTGTTCAACTTTAGATAACTATTATTAACAATAACACTATATACTGCACTCGACGTACGTTTCACCAACCAAGTTGGCATCATCTGGAGATAAGTGTTTTGGTGTTTGGTGGAAAACCACGTCAGTGTTATCTTCACATCAAAGGTTCCAACCCACTACAGGACTATTATTAACAATATCGAAAATACACAAAATTTACTAGAAATGAATAGGAATAACTATTTTACATTTAATTATTAAATTAGGCATGTACTCATTTAACGGTTAGCACATTTCTACCATCCAAATAAATAATAAATTAATTGATACAGGACATATTATTAGTTGTGAAGGTGTTATTATTTCCCTGTAACAAGGTAAGATATTTAAAAAACCCAATATATAATAGACATATATATATATATATATATATATATATATATATATATATATATATATATATATATATATATGTAAGTACAGAGAAGGAATTTGACGCGGGTTTATTTACATTACAGTAAAAAACAATATGACTTAACGGGTACGCCCGCATAAAAAAAAAAATTGCACGGTGGAAAATGCAAAAATTGCAAATGGCAGAAAGATGCAAACCATGGACACGTGTTTCTGACTAATTGGTCTTCATCAGCACGGTGTAGCTATATATATATATATATATATATATATATATATATATATATATATATATATATATATATATATATATATATATATATATATATATATATATATATATATATATATATATATTACGATGACCAAACCACATCCTGTATAATGAACAGAGTACATAAGGATAAAATTATGTTTAAATAATAAAAAGAAAGTAATAAAGATATTTTGCCAATACTAAAACAAAGTAAGACTCTAATATTTAAATTAAAATGATAATTTTGAGCGGTATGAGAGCCCAGTTTCAGTGAGAGACACTTACGTTAACTGTATTCATATTAAATAGGTAAAATTTGTAATAAATGTTGTTAAACGCTAGATATAAACACCTACCGTGTGGTAAATGAACTGTATGTCATTATGTTATGTGAAAAAGCTTTGTTCTATTTAGAATAAGCATCAGAAGGACTATTGTGTATAGCATGGCAACCAGAGCCAGAACATTATTGATTTTAGGTACCAAAACCTTTGGATAACCTGGAAAAAAATAAAATTTTATTGTTATTAATTAAAATTATAAACTTTGTTAAAGACAAGTATATTAAATTTAGTCATAGAATAGCTACAAGTGAGTTAGCAATCATGAACACTGGAAAAAAAGTGCTATAAGCTACTTTCATAATTTGGGTAGCGTAAACTCTACGATATCTGAGATTTCAATCATTTCTACGAAGTAAGTGCATCGTCTAACTTTAAAACTTTACAAAAGTGAAAGAGACTCACCTTGTGAGTTAATACAATGTAATAGCATCAAAATGTAAAGACAGTTAAAAGGTATATGTATAAATTTATGTCCAAGGAGGTACAAAACTTGACAAATATGAAGTTTTTTCTAAAATAAAAACCATTTGTTGAACTTTTTATAGCTATATCAGAAGAATAGCATCTATTTGTTGTTTCCAGTCAGTTAGTTATTTGTTGTATTTGAAAAGTTTCCAGCCAATGAGGTTTGACGAAGTCCTAAAACGAAAGGCAAATTAAAATAATGTTTTAAATGTATTTAGACATGCAAATATAGTATTGAATTGTTCATTAGTTATTAAATTAATCTCTGGTATGTGGTTTAGATGGTTGTAATTAGTTATATAAGAGAAATTGTTAAAAATTGTTGCAATTGTAATTTTTCTAAATATTCACAAAAGGCCATAGTATAGCATACCAAAATAAAGCTAATCCTCTCTATATTTTTATTTGAAAATAAAATTAGAGCCATAAGGTATCATAAAGAAATAAAAAAGAGAATTTAATTTTCATATTTTAAATTTCAAAAATCAAGTGTCATGATTTTTGTAGAAACGTCAGATTAGGCCAATAAAAAGCCCATATTTAAGTTTTAGTATTGATAGAAAGCTCAAAGGGAGAGCATTGTAATTTTATAAGAAATTTCCTAACCTCAAAATTTTAAATTTATATTTTCAAAAGAAATGAAGTCCATTCTCAAGCTCACGAAATATTAAAACAGGGTTTGTAAACCTAAAACACAAAAAAAATATATTAAATTAAATTTTATTAATACCATGAAATAATTTCAAGTGGAATTTAAGAATAATTTCCAGTTGCAACGACCAAGGAAAGTATTGTATATAATAGTAAATATGATTTGAGAAAATTAGTAAAGGTAAAGTACGTACCTTAAATAAATGCTGATTGTTAAATAAATATAGTGTTGTGCTACGAAAATATAAATCAAGTGTGCCAAGCAGCCATTGTTACTGAAGTTTTATGAATCTGAAATTTGCCACGGATGAAGAAGGATCGAGGCACTGAGCAATAATATAAAAATAGAAGGGTTATTCAACAGAGATTGACATAACGTGAGGTGCAAGAAATCGCCGTAAGTAAAATCAAAATAAATCCTAGGTACTTGACGATTTAAAAGTTTCGATGTTAACAGATCTGATTAAAAAATAAAAGGCAATTTCATTTTAATTTTAAGATATATTTGTGCAAAAGTGATCTAAACCATACCAGAAATTTGTAAATAAATTTTATATTGTTGTAATCTGACAAGGGTGTTTCATTGAAATTGGAGCTGTACGATTATTTTTCAGATTAACGCCAGGAACCTGCCCAAACCCTGAGGAGAGTTAAAATAATAACAATGAGTCTCAAAATAATATAGATAAAATAAAATAAACAATATTTTTAATATCATAAAATAAAACATTATATATAAAAATATATATATATATATATATATATATATATATATATATATATATATATATATATATATATATATATATATATATATATATATATATATATATATATATATATATATATATATATATATATATATATATATATATATATATATATATATATATATATATATTAAGAGAAAAGAATAATGATAAAAATAAATTATTACACATATAGCTTTGATAATTGTTTCAGAACAGTTCAGAGATTATTATATTCAGTAAAATTATATCTAGAACTATACAAGGTGTACCTACATGATTCAATTCATTTGAAAAAAAAGACTGGAACAACAATGCTTAAAAAAAACTTGTTTACACTAGAACCCAAAAATTTGTCAAGTTGCATTCTTTGATTGACAAGTTGATTATAAATTTCCGAAAATGGAGAATATTTCATGAAAATCTATCCATGGACGAAGCAATGGGAAACTATCTTGGCAACATTTCATCTAAACAATTTATTAAGGCAAACCCTTTGTGTTTTGGGTTCAAAGATTGGATGCTGTGTAATTCCACTGGATACTGCTACAGTTATGATACGTACTGTGGAATCAAAACATGTTGAACAGAATAATGTCAGAAACTCAGCACTACCTTTGGTTTCAAAGGTAGTTTTAGGATTGTTGGAGTCCGATTACCATGTGGCTTCGTGGTCAAATGGTAAGGACACTTGCCTCTCACTTTGGAGTCCTGGGTTCAATCCCCGGTCGAGGAGCTAGGATTTTTTCTAAAACAGAAATTAATCCTAGAATACTCGACATTGGGTATGTGTCCATTGTTGCTAAATGTGTGTCCCTCTCCCGCACAAGGTACCTTGAGCTACCTACAGGGATACAGGGGGTTGTATTACCTGTGATGTTAAATAAAAACAAAATTAAATAACACTTATTTCGATAATTAATAACTTATAGCCCAGTCCCCAGAGAAAAAATAATGGTAAAAACTGGACATCTTGGATCCAAGTGGTAGGCACTACTAATAAGTATATTAGTGACAACATTCTTTCACAAATAACCATTTTTTTTCTCGACTGCTACAGAAAATTTCACCATATACAATCGAAGGAGATTGTAGAAAATGTGAGTATCTATTATTCGGTACTGGAAATACATTTATGAAAAAGCCCCGATTTTAAGATAGTAGATGCACTCTAGTGCACATTCTTTTTGAATACGAATTATAATGAAAATGTAGACAAAGTGTTAATTTTTCATCATTTGAGAGCATTTTTTAAATCAAAATTTTGTAAGCTATATAATTCACAAAAATTACAAAAAATGTAAAGTCAACTCATTTTCTGTCCAGAACATTTGCATATTTTTGATTGCCATAATATCGAAAAGTGACATTCTCAAAACCAAAAGGACTAGTTACATAACAAGTATATTTCAAGATATAGATAATTTAATGAAGTAAACTCTAAAAATGACAAAAACAGTTTGATTTTGTTTTTCAATGCAAAAGACAAGTTCTACGGTTAAACAAAGAAAGCATTACTCTTCCTTTTTAAAACTGTTTTTTATTAATTACGATCCGATCATTTCTTCAAAAGTTATTAAAGTTTTTGTAATGAAACGAACGGAAAAGGCCAATTTTGGCGTTCGCGCTTTGGCTGGCGACCCCACAAATTTGATTATTTTTTACGTGAAAACGGTTGTATGTACAAAATTCTCTTTAAGAATATTTTTTTGTGTAGAATTTTGTGTTCTTTATTTTTCATCTTAGTGATTTTTCTGTATTATGCGTGTCTTAAAAATTATTTCCATAAAAACAATTTTTGGGAGTTTGAGTCATTTTATTTTATGTTGCAACCACGCTAGCCTTCGGAACTTTTTTTATACTATTATTTATTTTTTATTCTATTATCAAAGAGCTACTTCTGTGCAAAATTTCACATAATCTTAGCTCAAAAGCCTAGGGACTGAGCTATTAAGAAAGTTACGATTTACTTGACATGCTGAGAAAAAAAAGGTTTCGGGGCAACTGATAATAGACAAAAAAATGTCCTTTGCAGATTTCAAAAAAAAATTTAACAAAAAGGAACGAGAATATTTTCAGAATATTTCTGACGAAAATAATTTGCCCGCAGAAAATAATTGTTTTAAATTATTTGCTGAGCAGTTTATATGATCAAAACACATTCAAAATTATTAAGGTAGTATTAACCAAAAAGTTCTGTGTTTCTGCTAAATAAGCCATATATTAATTAAAAGAAAAACAACAAAATTAACAACTAAAATGAAAAAAAATTTGTTTGAGAATTATTTTATGTTCTACATTGACAATAAAATTGACTTGGTAACGCTCATTAAGATTATGTTTTTAACTATCACTTTATTGCTACTACTTCCATCGTTAATCTGTTGAATTAATCACTTGAACTTACCGTAACACATTTTATTTGCATGACTAGTTAAATATAGGATCACTAATTAATTAGTTTATTGTATATAACTATACTATCAATTAATAATATCACCTGACAGATTATCACAGGTTAACTTTGTAAATAGATACGTATGGACAATTTTCTGATAAGTAATAGGAAATTTATTACTTTCAATACGCTTTCATTAAATGAAAACCTATGAAAATATAAGTTCTGGCAATTGTATGTATTTGTGTTTTTTTTTTCTTAACATAAATATTTTCTTCAATTTTCATATACGAAAGTATAAAAGTCTGCCTTCTTTCCACATAATTCGTTATTATATTCACTCCTTCAACGGGAGGAGAGTAGATAAAAATGTAGATCATTCTGAAAATTCGTATATTAAATTACTTACGTATTGGGCAAGAAAATATGCTCTACCTTTAATATAACAAAGATATACATAGCACTAAGAGCAAATATTAAAATTCAAGTTATTTTAAAATGTGCCTCTTCTATTCGGAGTTAATATATTTTTAGAACAGCTTAAAGTTTATTCCATTCTATTATGCTATCATGAAAATTTGTTTATAATCCTTTTTATTTCTGTGTGGAGGCAAATCCCAACTAAACTGTTCAACAGCTGAAATAATTATAAGAATAGTAGTAGTTGCTGGCGCAAACTGAAATGTGGATCGAAACCATGAGAGGACTATCCAGCATCGGAAAACCGGAAAAAAATTGTAGAGATACTCGCAAGATGATGAATATTTACTGCACTATACATCCTAGATAGTCCGTTCCTAGCATATACCTCCCACGTCAACCAAAATTTCTTTAGCCTGAATATATACTCACGGCAGAGTAGTACTGAGTATGGCATGTAATATCCTCAGGAGCTCAGATCCCCTCTTGCGGTTTGTAAAACATCACGAAACTGCAGTAGTAGATGCCGGATTGTTCAATGCAGTAAAAAAGAGGCGCAGATGAACTTGGTCTCGCATTCAGTACCAGGCGAGGAGGACGGCGCACAGTGTGATATTTTAATAATCTAGGGGGGATTTAAGTCGAAAATTTCAGGTAGCCAGGATATAAGTAATACTAAGGAATTTGCATAAAAACATTCTAAATATTAGATAACTGCACCTGTTTTGTTATTACGTAGGAAGTTGTGGTCACACATAGGGCCTAAACCCAAGGGAAGCAGGTAGATGGTTTACACGTGTTGCTTGGGAAGTTTAGTAAGGCGTGATAGTTCTTTTAGAGTGGATGGTGTTCTTATGTGTTATTTTGGTATCTGTGTATAGTTTAGAGTTCTAACAAGTCATTAAGGTAAGTTTTTGATGTTTTGAACTTATATAACTATTGATATTAAAATTTGTTTTAACAATGTTACAATTTGTATGCATTATCATGTTACCATAAACTAAAAGTTTCTTATATGGGCGTATATGGACTTCTACCTGCCTTTTTGGTATTCACTAGACTTTTTACTATTGGAAAACAATTAATTGTTTTGCATCCGTTTGTGTTTCCAATATATTTCTTTTTTTTTCAGAATGGCTCCAATAATAACCCGTCAAGCAATTTTTAAAGTTTGGTCTGGCAACAGTAAACCCGAGCGCTGTAATGCAGTGTACGAATTTGTTTTAGGAAAATTTTACCAAGTAATGTTCCCTGACAATGTTATTCAGGTTTTAAAATCTTCTTTGAGAAGCTTATGCCAACAAATCGAATTAAGGGGGGGAGAAATGTCACCGAAAGCGTGGCCGGTTTTTGAAAAACAATTCTAAGTGGCTAGAGAAAATCATTACTTTTCCTGAGACTGTTTATAATTTCTTGCCTTCAACATCTAGCGATCAACCATTTTCTGTCTTGGGTAGACCATCAAAGCCATTCGAAGAGTGCTGCGAAAAAAACAAATAGGAGGAAGCTTAAAACTTTTGTTAAGTCAACTAGCACCGAAAAAATATTCAAGGCTGCTGAAATAAAGCTGCGTGAGGAGGGAAAGAAAGATTCCGTTGCTATAGTAAAAGAATTATCTTAAGCATCACCCGCTCGAGGCACCAAAATAAAAAAAGTCGATACTTATTTTTTAGAAAAACCAAAAATATTGTCAGCTGACCAAGCTCTAACATTAATGATCGACGATAATCTTTCAGCACATCAATATAACGTGATAAGAGAGCAGGCAAATAACATAGCTCCTAATATGTATCCATCATATCATGCAGTTAAAGAAGCAAAGACGAACACATCGTCTTTGCTTCTGCAGATATTAGAGTGACTGAAATTTCGGCGGAAATTCGCTTACAGTTACTGATTAATCAGTCATACTATTTTAAGATTGTGTGCAGCACAAGAAGAGCTTCTTGAACATATTGAAGAAACTTTCAGTGAGCTTTATTTTATTATAAAGTGGGGATGTGATAGGTCTCAGCAAACGCGTTACAAACAAAGGTTTACAAATGAGGGTCAATCTGTTGTACAATTTGTTTAGTATTTCCATGGTAACAATTCAACTTTATTTTAACCAGGATGGGTTCAAACGAATCGTCTGGCAAAATTCATATCCTTCGTCAGTTCGGTATTGTCGAGTTTATTTTCGCAAAGGAAACAACTGATTTGGTGTTAAAAAAAATGACCGCTATTGAACAACAAGTGAATATGTTAGTTCCTACTTGTGTGGAACTCGGAAATAAAAACGTTTTGGTTGTTAGTTTTAAGTATGATAGATGTCAAAGCCTGTACATCATTGTCCTCATACTCATCTTCGCAAACCTGCATTTTGTGTGGTGCTACACCAAAGGACATGAATAAACCAGAGCTAATTTCAGAAAAAGAGATTGATTTGAAAACACTAACCTTTGTATTATCACCACTACATGCGTGGATTAGATTCATGGAATGCTTACTACACATTGCATACAGGTTAGAAGTAAAAATATGGAGGGCTTAAGGTGCTGAAATAAAAACTAAAGTTGCGAATAGAAAAAAATATATTCAAGACAGATTTAAAACTGCAATGGGTCTGTTGGTAGACATACCTACACAACAAGCAGTTAATACGAATGATGGAAATACGTCTCGGCGATTTTTCAGAAACGCTGAAAAGTCTGCCGATATAACAGGTATCAATTTAGAACTTATTCAGCATTTTCATATAATTTTGGAAACAATAAATTGTGGATTTTAGATAAATGCTAATGCTTTCGAAAATTATATCTGTCAAACCAGAAATCAGTATTTAAAAGAGTACCACTGGTTTTATATGCCAAGTAGTGTACATAAAATTTTGTTTCACGGCAAGATTGTTATTGCCTCTTGTATTCTTCTAATTGGTCAAC